ATATATAGTCAATACGTTGCAAAGGGATTTTTTGCCACTTTCTGCGGATGTAGGCAGATACTCATGCCCAGAAAGCAAGAGACTACAAGTGCTGTGGAATGTACTAGCGGGTGTACAGTGCAGTGGCTGTATAGTTTACCACTAACTTTGCCAAAGACAAGCATGTACAGTCGTAGCGAAGTGGTCATTGAAAGTGACTGTCCTAAGTGCAAGGTCGGCTATGCTAGATAAGCACATATGAAATACATCCATACCTGTACTAATCCAGATAGTACACCAATTAATATTTCTACCCATTTTTTCAAGATAGCGTACACATAAAACATGTTCATACAGTTCTTGATTCCCACAGGATATATTTCTATTCTCTGGTCCAGATAGTGTACACACAAAACAAAAACATACCTTTCTTGATCCAGATAGTGTGCTGAAATTTGGCAGGGAGCGTGGTAAGTACACGTATGCCATCTGGGGACTCCACCTCTATTAGATTGTTGCCTAAGCCTTGTGTGACACGCATGATGACATGCTTGTCATCTGGGACAGGGTATTCGTCCAGCACTTCTCGCACGACATACTTGGATTTGGTGGCCTTAGACATGATTACTTGTCTACAAGTGCTGATGCTAGTGCTGCTTATAGTTTATATTCGAGAATTTAGGTGTGTTAAAACTTAGACAGCAGGATTTCAAACATGAGTTTGTGAATCGGTACACAGCGAGTGTATTGTGAATATATCACATATGCACATGTACGTCCGCATCGGGGATTGATTATTCTGCATTCTCTCGGACTGGAATGTAGTCGAGCGCATTCCTCTAGTTAGGGTTTGTTGTGGCAGGGTTTGAAAGAGAGTACATACAGGGGGGGAGTACCAATATGTAATCCTGAGATCTGAGCTGCAACAGCCAAGAGTCCACAGAAGTGCAGTTCGGTACAGCTATGTTGTTTAGGGTTTATTTTATTGCGAGGGTGATATGTGTGTTTGGGTTTGGGATGGGGTGTCCTATTGCTCATAGCCTTCCCTGTTTATAAATAATATTATAGAGAGAGGCTACATATGTATTAGAACTTTCGTGTGTGGGCGGGCAATGGTCAGTACGTTTGCAGCACCATGGACATACGCGAGTTCTGCCGAAGACTGCCCAAAGTGGTACGTTACATAGCCACCAATTGTTTTGGTGATAATTGAGGTGTACGAGTTATAAATGAGTGCACGAAAGTAAGATGATCAATCATCTCCCATGTGACACGATGCCAGCAATCCAGCACACGTTATCGTAATACCACAGTATGTGATAGTATCGGCTACTACTGTGTTATGAGCAGGACGCGCAAAGTATGTATAAATATACGAAGGCGAAGCATTCGCCAGTCACAATAGACGTTAGACCGAAGTGAGCATCTCAGCGAATTGGCGTGACGACACTCCAGTTCGTGATTGTATCAGCAACCATATTCGTGATAATTTTTAGTTGTTACATGTACGATGGACCACTAAATATCATATGTGCTAAAATTCCCACACGAACGTGAGGTAATACTGCAAGTTATACTTCGGGTTTGAGATCTTGGGATCTTCACACCTAACCAGTATTCAAAAATGGCACACGAAAGTATAGTTATTGTTAGATAGTAGTTCTGAATTTCATGCTCATGAGACAGACAACCGCTACACGAGAGTGCTAGCAAAAAAACGTCTATGATACGCAAGCAAAATGATCACGGGCGAAAGTTATAAAATAGCCTTGTTTAGATGCAATCTTCTCCCCACTTATCACACGTTAGTGGGGAATTCATGGACTTCACTGATGTATGTAGTCTGTTCTGCTGACGCGAGGTTAAGTCCCCATGCCACATGACAGCATTCAAAATTATCTGATAGCGGGGCAACCTTACTATGAAAGGACAGTATATGTGTCAAGGGTGTTATCAAGACGCCTACATTGATTGAGGTTTGTGTGCTTACTTCGAGCGAACTGATAGTGCTCTCTACCCTACATCAAACGTTGGATTGTTATACTAGTATGAGTACTTTCGGTACATATCAACACAGCTTGTGCTCTAAATTGAGAATTCCTTGCACTCTCGTGGTTTGTACTCACTCTTCTCGCGAGTTGACGCGCCGGTGCTTTCGATTGTAATTCGTCCGTGTAAACATATTATCACGATATCTCAACGAGTCCTGGTGCTTTCGGCATAGTATGTACAAGCAGCACCCATCTTAGTGGACGTTATGTCTTTGGATACCTGCGTAGCATCCATCTATATGTTGAATACTATATTCATTCTTAACTATGTCAATTGGGTTGACAAACTAAGTTACACATTCTACACGAGCACAATACTTATTTCACTTATCCAAATTCTTGGAAATACTTATCAGGAGCTACATGCACACCTCAACGGCTCAATCGATAACGACACACTCTACAAATTGATGGACCTGTACAAAGCAAAGTATGTGTTGGTCGGTATCTAAACTAGGTGTGAAAAATTTCGATAATATATGGTACCGGAAGCCATTAGCATCGGGGGCGATTAACCCTTCCGTGATGAGCGGAGGTGAAGCTTTTGTGTGGCATCCGCAACCACTACAGATTGTTCGTGTATCAAGAGTTTATGAATCTCACTTGACAAGCAGGGTCTGTTTAACGATTGTACCGGCTTTCCGTTTACCTGTTACAGCTATACCATCCTTACATACTTCTACTGTCCCCAGAAAGTTTGCTTCTTTGGATCGGTCAGGGACCTATATGTGTGTGGAGTATGATCACCTGAAGGCCACAGGAGCCATAGTTTCACATGCGAAAGCTTAACTATTCAAAAGGATCAACCCAATTTGAAAGACTTAGGGCCAAGAAGTATCAAGGCACGAATACTGAACTTAAAAAGACTACCAATTCAAAGAGAATTGATCGCTCGTATTTTCACAGACATTTTATTCAATACCGCATCGCTTTCCAGACATGAGGAATTACCGCTGGAGGCATCGGACAAGTCAATATACGCTATCAAACAAGGAGAAACCCGAACGCTGGCTCAGTATGTCGTGTAGATCAACGCATGTTCACGTTGAAACAGATTGTGTTGTTGGACCATATTGAGGACATGTATATGCAAGTGATGGAAAAAAGCAGCAGGTGAATACATATCC